TGTATTATTGTCCCCAGTTTACAGAAAAGAAGACAGAGGCTCAGAGGAATTCAACTTGACCGAGGTCACCCAGCTAGTAAATGGCAAAGGATGGGTTTTAACCCCGTATCGTCAAGCCTCCTGGTGAGACAGGACGTACAATCTACTGAGAGATAAAAATGGTTTTCCCAAATGCCCAGAGGCTGTTGGTAAGAAACACTAGACTCTTGGTCGACTGTTCACTGGGTTCCTCTGCTGTACCTGCCAGTATCTAAAACGTAAAAACAAATTAGCCTAAAACTTATTAGCCAGTGCATTTGTCATAAAAAGGAACTTGCATTCTGTTTCGTGTGTCTACGTTTTAGGAAGGTCTTCAAGAGCCTTTTATTGAATCACTGTATGAGACATAGTGTATGAGATACTCACGTCCCCACATCAGAGCACAAACTCTGTGCTTGAAAATGTATACTTCTTATCTTTCATCTTTTCTTAGTTAGTCCTTATTTATTATCTTAATGAGCCCTGCTTTGGAGCGACAAATCTTCTGTCCATTAAGCTTTCGATAAAACTAGAAAACTTCATCAGAAAAGTTGGTTCAGGTCTTGCTCTTCAGAAGTTGATGAAGTCTCAAACTTACATACAAATTCTTTTGTATGCATTGCATTAGGAAGGTTGAATCAAAGTGAAACAAACAAATGACTTCCTAGGGCTCTGTTTGTCTTCTAAGAATGGTTAGCACTGGGAATGACCCTGGAATCAGGCTCCATCCTAGGGCACCCAAAACTCAGCACCACAATGCATGGAGGAGAGGGCTCCCCTCTCCCCACGCGGCCTGCCCTCCCCCAGCTCCGGCAGCCTCCTCTTCTGAGCTGGCTGGAGCACAATTCACACCTACCTACGGAAATGCATTTTCACTTCTGTTGCTGATTTTCTCCTTTGTAAAAAGTAGAGCCAAAGCCAGAGCTTTCCTCTCCTCTCCCCTGGCCCCTGCAGTGGTAGAAGCCAGGCCCCGGTGAGCCTGCAGCCTGTGGATTTGGGGTGGGTCCCTGTCCCGTGGCCCCACCTGCTGAGCACCTCGAGGACAAGGAACATGGAGCATTCTCCCTCAGGGCTCTCCTCGAGAAGTGCCAAGTGTCGTAAATTAAGACAAAAAAGAAGGATACTAAAGGTGGTCAGAGAGAGGATTTATGCACTTCTCTTATTACTGGCTCTGTGTCAACTGAGCATGAGCCACACAGCCATCTCCCTCCCAAGTGATTCCAGCCAAATGCTGGCTGCCCACGCATCCTATCAGGCCACAACCCCCTGCCAGCCGTGGGAACCTCCCACAGAAAGTGGTTCCACACCCCTGGGGTCTCACCCAGGGTCTAGCGCCAACTCTTGGATCAGGGCTTGGACAGCTCCAGGACACTCCCGCACCGCAGACCCACAGACCACTACCTGCCCTCAAGTCTGCTTGTATCCCCTCGGTGTTCTCTTAGACCTCAAAGGGAAAACTAAAACATGGCAGCTTGGTCCTGGCAGCTGTCCCTGGCCGACTGTCCTCTTCTCCAGGGTCACAAAGCAGGCAGGCAGGTGTCCTGCAGGTGACCCCGAGGGGCTTGGAGGAGACCCTCTATTTTCCCTGCATTACATATGTTGGGGGATGGTACCCAAACCAAAAAAGCCAGGCATTCAGCTCCCACCCAGACCCCAAGTCCTGACATTCAAATCCATCCCTGTCCTCTACCCCCACCGGGGTACCAGGCCTCCATCGTTTTTCATCTGGTCCAACCTGCCCTGTGCAGCCTCTACCACAGGGCCCTTTCAGGAACCCAAATTGGATCACAGTGCTGGCCTACTAAAAGCTGGACAGCCAAAGCCTTTGAGATAGGCTCTCTCCTCCCCCGGGAGTGGCCGTGGCCATGAACCCAGCCCTGTCTGTGGATCCAGCCTTATCTAGGCCCCTCCCCAGCAATCCCTGCACTCCAGCCCGCCATACATCTTGTCCTTTGTTATCAGAACATGCCAGGCACTCACTCGCAGCCTCTCCACCTTTGCACCTGCTGTTCCGTCTGCCCATCCTTCCAGCAAATTCTTGCTCATCCTTCAATGTGCGGCTCAAAGGTCTACTCCTGCATAAAACCCTCTCTAACCACCTGTCTTAGCTCATAAGACTGGTGCCATAACAAAATGCCGTAGACTGGGTGGCTTCAACAACAGCAATGCGTTTTCTCATGGTTCTGGAGGCTGGAAGCTGCAGATGAGTGTGCTAGCGTGTGGTCGGCTTCTCGTGGGAGCTCTCTTCCTGGCCTGCACACTCTGCCTTCTTCTTGTGTCCTCACATGGCAGAGGGACAAGGGAGGCAGGCAGGGAGGGAAGGGGAAGGAGAGAGAGAGAGAGAGGAGAGAGAGAGATTTCCTTCTTCTTCTCTTCTTATAAGGCCACCACTCCTCTCAAATTAGGACCCCAAACTTATAACCGCATTTAATCTTATTACCTCCTAAAAACCACATCGCAGAATATGGCCATACTGGGGACAGGACTACGACATATGAATAGGCGGGGAGGAGGGAGGACGATTTAGCCCAGAGGACCTCCTCAGACTAAAGTGGCTGCTGCTTCTCTCTGAGCCCCATATTCACCAGGGGAGGGTGTCCCTTTATTACAGCACCTCCATCCTCCATCTGCATTTATGTCTCCTGAATTAATGGACCAGGTGCTACTGCCCAGTCCCATCCCCTGCTGTTTTTGGGGTCACCCCTTCTGTGGGAAGGCCACTGTCTCCCAGCAGACTCTGCGCACTGACCTATCTCCTGCCCAGAGCTCTGAGAAGGTGGGTCCTGAGTACCTTGGAAGGAGCAGGCCTCCTGGGGAGAAATCTGGTTTTGCTGTGGGCCCCGCTTTGTGCCTGTTACTCGTACCAGCCTTTACTGACCAGGCCGTATTCCTCTGCTGCCTGGAGAGCCTCTTGAGGTTTCCTCTTGTCCTAAGAAGTCACATTCTTGCTGCCTGTTCTGGAAACAGCAACCCTGCGCAGGAGACCTGGTGTACACGCTAGGAACAGGGCACTCTCAGCAGCCTGTGCCTTGGTGCTACCCTGCGACGGGCTGTTATTTTTAGCACTCGCTGCAGAAAAAAACTGAAAGTCTCACTGCATGTTTTCAGGTTTCTTCCAGGTCTCCACAGGGGCCTAGTGCAGAAATGGGTCCTGCCTCTGGCGCGGAGAGCGGCTCCGGGCTCACAAAGGTTATTTATTTAATGTATTTACTTTTACTCCCAGGCCAAAAGCTTAAAATATCTTGTGACTGAGCTCTGGACCAAAAAATGAAGCAGTTGGGCCATTAATCATTGGGAATATGTTGAATAGGAACTTGATTAAAGCACAGTATGTGTTCCCCAGACGAAGTTGCTTCTTTACAGTGACCACAGTGGCAGCTTGGCCTCCCGGGCCCGGGGCCTCCTCCAGTGAGCTTTTGCGGGGCGCCTCCTTGAGGGCTCCGGGGAGGGCTCTGGCTTCTTGTCAGTCTCTGGAAGGCCGCTGTCTGCGTGGGGGTCTTGACCCGCACAGCCCCGCTTTTCTCCAACAAGGACACCTCCGACCAGCACCCAGGCGGTGTCGGGCTCCAGCGCACAAAGTCAAGTCCTGAGGGGCGGTGGGAGAAGCAGGAGCGCATTGCTGGCCCAGGAGGCCCCCACGGGAGTCCTGCTGCGACCCCCGCCCCCGCCGGCGATCCCGGTATAGAACCAGCGAGGCGCCACGTGGCTGGGGAGACGCGCTGCCTTAAACCCTTTCCTTCGGCAGCAGTGAATGCCGAGGCGGCGCCCAAGGGGTACCCGGGCCAGGCCGCCTTGTTCCCCAAGACCCCGGGGACACAGCGCGCTGCGTACCACTCGGCCGGGGTTTGCCGGTAGGTGCTGGGACTCTGGGACGCCAAGGTTCCGAGCCCCCGGCTCCTTTGACACCCCTGCTCCCGCCTTGGAACCCACCCGAATGGGGAGGGGGACGCGGCAGTGGATTCCGATCCCGTTGACCGCCAACCCCGATTTGGGATCCCGGTCCCGGAGTCAAATTCGCCTCCTCCCTCTAGGCGCCCCACCTCGCCCCGGTACCCCAGCCCTGGAATCCAGCTCGGCCCGTCCCGCAGGAAAACACTGGCGGCCCAGAGCCGGGTAGCAGCGCCAGCCCCGCGCCTAGCAACCCTAGCGCTCCGGCTAGGAGAAGTAATTAAAAAGAAAAAGTTTTCCAAGCCCAAGCGGATGGACCGGCCGGGTCCTCCAGGCTCCGCGGCCGCAGCCACCTCCCATTCCCTCCGCTCCCCGCGGGGTCCTAGCGCCCGGCGCTGTTGAGCCCTTGGGACCCCGGAGGGCTGTGAGAGGCGGAGCGGGGCAGAGGTACTTCGGCGAGGAATCGGTGGGGTCGTCAGGAGATCAGAGACACAAAAATCACCGCCCTCCAGGACGCTTCCCTCCGCCTCTCCATGCCGCTGTGTACGCTGGGCCAATACGTCCCAAACTTGTTTCCTACCCCCAATCCCCGGCCCCGGCCCCTTCTCCACGCCGCTGCCTAGCAGAGACGCCGGTCCCGAAAAGGACTATTTCTAGCTTTTAGAGCGAGTCCGCGCCCCAATAACTCAGAGACCAAGACTGGCCCTCCACCAACCCCCCACCCTACCCCCACCCCCGCGCAGCGTCTCGGCGCTCCTGGGCTCCCCGACCGTTGGCTGGAAGTGGGTGCCTCGGGGAAGCTAGAGGAGGGGGCCCCGTCACCGAACACGTGTGTGCGGGGGCGACAACTCGGCCCAGGGTGGGGCGTCGCGCGCGCGTCGCGGTTCGGCTGGCGGGGCAGGGGGTTAGTGGGCGTTGAGCCGGGGCCTCTCCTGGCGGGCGCTGCGCTCTGGCCGCACTCACCGCCCCCTCCGGAAGGCAGGCGCTAAGACCCAGGAGGCGCCGCTCCGCCGTCGGACACTAGAGGGCGAAGGCCGCCCTGGTATAAATGCGGGTCCCGAGCGCGCCTGGCCATTAGCGACCGGGAGCTGCGCGGGCGCGAGCGAGTCGGGGCCCCGGGTGGTCGGCAGCAGCGTTGGCGCCCCGCGCAGGCTGGAGGCCGCCGAGGCTCGCCATGCCGGGAGGACTGTAGCTCCCCCATGGAGTCGGCCGACTTCTACGAGGCGGAGCCGCGGCCCCCGATGAGCAGCCACCTCCAGAGTCCCCCGCACGCGCCCAGCAGCGCCGCTTTTGGCTTTCCCCGGGGCGCGGGCTCCGCGCAGCCCCCCGCCCCACCTGCCGCCCCGGAGCCGCTGGGCGGCATCTGCGAACACGAGACGTCCATCGACATCAGCGCCTATATCGACCCGGCCGCCTTCAACGACGAGTTCCTGGCCGACCTGTTCCAGCACAGCCGGCAGCAGGAGAAGGCCAAGGCGGCTGCGGCCCCCGCAGGAGCCGGCGGCGGTGACTTTGACTACACGGGCGCCCCCGGGGGGCCCGGCGGCGCCGCGATGCCGGGAGGGACGCACGGCCCCCCTCCTGGCTACGGCTGCGCGGCGGCCGGCTACCTGGACGGCAGGCTGGAGCCCCTGTACGAACGCGTCGGGGCGCCGGCGTTGCGGCCGCTGGTGATCAAGCAGGAGCCCCGCGAGGAGGACGAGGCGAAGCAGTTGGCGCTGGCGGGCCTCTTCCCCTATCAGCCGCCGCCTCCGCCGCCGCCGCCGCACCCGCACCCACCGCCCGCGCACCTGGCCGCCCCTCACCTGCAGTTCCAGATCGCGCACTGCGGCCAGACCACCATACACCTGCAGCCCGGCCACCCCACGCCGCCGCCCACGCCCGTGCCCAGCCCTCACCCTGCGCCGGCTCTCGGTGCCGCCGGCTTGCCAGGCCCTGGTGGCGCGCTCAAGGGGCTGGCGGCCGGGCACCCCGACCTCCGCGCGGGCGGCGGCGGCGGTGGCGGCGGCGGCGCGGGCAAAGTCAAGAAGTCGGTGGACAAGAACAGCAACGAGTACCGGGTGCGGCGCGAGCGCAACAACATCGCGGTGCGCAAGAGCCGGGACAAGGCCAAGCAGCGCAACGTGGAGACACAGCAGAAGGTGCTGGAGCTGACCAGTGACAATGACCGCCTGCGCAAGCGGGTGGAACAACTGAGCCGCGAACTGGACACGCTGCGGGGCATCTTCCGCCAGCTGCCCGAGAGCTCCCTGGTCAAGGCCATGGGCAACTGCGCGTGAGGCGCGGGGCGGCGGGACCGCCCTGGGCCGGTCGCTGGCTGGGACCCAGGGAGTGGTTTCGGGTCTCCGGATCTCAAGACTGCCCCAGCGGCGCAGGCCGGGACTAGGAGATTCCGGTACCGCCAGAAAGCCTGGCCTGCCGCGCGCGCCCCTTGCCTTCCTCTGCGCCAGATTCGGTGCGTCTAAGATGAGGGGTCGGGCAGTGGTTTCTTCCCTGCCGGAGAGGAGATGTGCCGTGGGCTCAGCCGGGAGCCCGGCCACTCTGGTATTAGGGAATAACCTTGTGCCTTGGAAAAGCAAACTCACCGCTCTGATTCCTACCGAGTAGGGGGAGCAAATATGTGCCTTGTCATTTTTTTTTGGAGGGTTCCTGCCTCATTGCTGAGGCCGCAGGCCCCCATGAGAGAAGGCAATGCGCAGGCCTGTGGCAAGAGGAAGGTTCAGGGAGCAGGGATCCCAACAAGCCAGCCCTAGCGGCTCCTCAATGCCTGTCCTTGGGGGGAAGGAAATACAGGGACTTGGAACGTTGTGCCCCCAGTTCTGCATGAAGGTGGAGGGTCCCGGGTTCCTGGCCTCTAATCTCCCAGCCTGAGACAGGCTGGGCTTCCCTGGGCAGAACCCACTGAGATGGAGGTCACCAGGTGACCAGTGGGAGCCCCCTGCCCCCAGTCAGATCAGAAAGCTAGGTCATGGGTGAGCTGCAAGGACATGTGTTCACGGGAGTGGTGGCCTGGTGGAAGAGGGAAACCCAGAGAACTGGTCGGGGGTGGGGGTGGGGGTGGGGGCGAGGCAAAGGACCACTGGGACCATCAGCCTCGTCCTGTATGTTGCCACCATTGCCATACAAGCCCAGAGGGACCGAAGTTATGAGAAGCTTTCCAAATATTTTGCTTTATCAGCCGATATCAACACTTGTATCTGGCCTCTCTGTGTCCCAGCGGTGCCTTGAGCAATGTGAATGTGCACGTCTATGCTAAACCACCATTTTATTTGGTTTTTGTTTTGTTTTGGTTTTGCTCAGATACTTGCCAAAATGAGACTCTTTGTCAGCAGCTGCAGGGAGGGTCTGCGGCTCTCTTTCCTTTTGGTTTTTGGGATTGCTTTTGCTCCCAGGGGAACCAAAGAGGTGAGGTGGCCTTCCTCTTTCCCCCGGGGTGGGGGTGGGGGCCTGGAGGGGGGGGCTGGGGCAATGGGCCTCGCTCCCCTCTGGCCCCGGGCTGCCCACAGTCTTGCCCCCACCAGAGGCCCTGGCTCCTGGTCTGGAAGGGAGGCAGCCCCCAGCCAGCGCACACAGATGGCTGGGGCTGGGAGCAAGAAAGGAAGGCTTGGTTCTCTTCTTTGGGGGAGAACGTAGAGTTTCATGCTAGATGTTTTATGTGTTATATCTATAATATAAACATATCAAAGTAAATGTTGGTGTCTTTTTAAAACCAGAAAAGCTACTTCCAGGGTTTTCTGTGGGCCAGGTCACATTTGTAAATAATCACGGCATATTCTCTGGCTGAAATCCTGACTTTCATTAGCTCTCCCATTCTGAGCCCCTCTTTACATTAAGGGGGTGACTTCTCCCAACCAAGGCAAATAAAGGGCAGAAGGAAGAGGATATACTCCCAAGCCGAGAAAGCCCAAAGCCTGAGGAGAGTCCCCTGGGGGCTGGGGGGAGAAGTTGAGGGGGGTCACGGGGCCTTGGTGGGGCCTCTGATCAGCCCCTGGGAGGAGCAGAGGGGCTCAGAGAAGCCTCCTTCTGCCCGGAAGTTGCCACGGGCTGTCTGGGACTCGAACAGGCCTGGCCCAGGAGCTCCAGGCTCCAGGGGTCCTTTGGCAACGTTTGCTTCTAGGTCACCCACCACCCTAGCTCTGTAGCAGCGTTGCTAATGCCTGGCCTGGCCTAGCCCACCAGCAGGACCCCGGGCGGGCAGAGGGAGGCCTCAAGCAGTAGGCCTCTCTACCCCTCCCCACTTGCTCTGGGCCGTGCGGCTGCAGTCCACCCCAGCAGGGCCCTGAAGGGCAGCCTGAAGGCCGAGCACCCCTCCACCCCTTCTTCCATAGCTGCCCTGCCCCAGCCCACCCCAGGAAGGGGGCCCGCGGTAGCCCCGCAGTGGCTGTGTGGTCCTTCGCCCACACCTCCTGGCAAAGAGCCAGCCCGTGTCCACCCTCCCCTGCACTGTGCCCACCCTGCACCCGGTCCCCTACTCAGACGGCTGCCCTGTGAGGACAGGCCCCCTGGCACCCCCTTAGCAGCAGTAATGGCCAACCGGAGGAGGGCCCACCCTCACGCCTGGTAGAACAGGGCTCGGCAGGAAGTGGGACAGGAGGTAGGCAGGCCTTCCAGAGTTTACTCTCGCTGAGGGTAGAAGGCAAACACTCGCTACCTTCTATTTTCACCCCAAGAGGCTTCACTTGAGCAGCTCACCACCTATGCCAATGTGGGCCGGGACAGTTTCAAGAAATTACACACTCTTTTTAAATTCCGAAAGCTCCATCTTTACCTGCCCGAGTGGTTAGCAGGGGTGACTTGCCCCCTTCCCGCCCCAGCCCCCGCCCTCTCTGTCCTGAGTCTTGCCGCCTCCTCGCCCATGGCCGCCCTTGGCAGAGGAAAGGCCACGAGCCCAGTGTGGAGGCGGCTGCCTGCCCCACCGCCCTGGGAACCAAGGAGGCAGAGCCCGCCGCCTGCCTGGAGGCCCAGGGCAGGCCACAGCTTGCCAGGCCCCAGCAAACCCTCTCCGAGTTCAGTGCTAATTCCAGTTTTTCTTGTTTGAGGGGGCCAAACCTCAGCTTCCCCCTTTGCCCCCAGAACAGATCCCAGGATGAGCAGGGGAGGGACACCCCTCCTGCCCTCTCTCCTCCCTCTCCCCTCCCCCTGTCCCATATCCCGGGGTTTCCTCTTTCAAAGCTGTCAGCCTACTCAAGGGCACCCCTCCCGCCGTAGATCCTGAGGTCCAGGGCAGACTTTGCCGGGGACAAGACAGATCCAACCGAAGCCAACCCAAGGAAAGGAATGGGCCAGTGGCGCCCCAGTGGCGCCCCCCCCCCCCCGCCCCAGGAGACAGAGCAAGCTGCCAAGGGGAGGGGGTGGTGTGGGGTAAACCTGCCCAGCATGCACTCGGGGCCTGGCTAGAGAGGCGCCTGGGGAAGAGCTGCTCTTTGCCACCCACTGCTTCCTGCAGGGCCCCCATGGTTCCCCTCCTGACTGCAGCCTTCGTGAAGAACCACTCCAAGAGCCTGGCCCAGTATCATCGGAAGCCTGCTGTGTACCAGAGCCTGTGCTGAGGCTGGATCACCCAGCTGGGAACAGGAGGACTTGGCTCCTACTCTCCAGAGCTCACAGTCTTGTGGCCCCAAGATGGGTTTTAAGGATGGCCAGTGCAATAAAGGGAAGCTCAGAGTGTGAATAGAGGGCACCAGGGAGGGCTTCCTGGAGGCAGCAGTTTGATCTAAGACCCGGTCATGGACCCAGTCCAACACACCTAGATGCCTCTGCCTTGTACTTTCTCACGAGGGGTAGCAGGGACCTCACCCCTCCGCGGCCCATCTGAGCCTGGTGGCCCCTGAGAGCACTGTTCAGGGGAGCCAGCCTCGGGCAGGGGGAGACAAAGGTAGAAAGGAGAGAGGGAGTCACTCCTTTTTTGCTGCCAGATGCCTCCCGATGGTTTAGCGCTGTCGTGGATGTCACCCTTATCTCCGGGATCTCCTGGGAATTTGTGAACGTGGGGTTTGGCCCTGACACCTGTGATGAGCCACTGCGACTGGTGAGGAGTGTCTGCCCCTCCCAGGTCTTCCGCCCCCTCCTTCCCAGGCACGAACCTGCCAGGCCTCCTCTAGAAGCTGCTGGTTTCATGGGAGGAGAGGGGGGCCGTGGGGAGAGAAAGAGGGAGGCCGGACAAGGGAGAGCAGAAACCCTCCGTTGCTCCTCAGCAGGCCTTCTGCAGACACGGGGTAGTGTCCTTGCCTGGACCGTGGTGCTATCGCGTCCGTTCATTTCCTACTCTGGCGGGTGGGGGAAGGCCTTTCTCTTCCTTTCCTTAAATAGAACTAAACCACTAGCACCTTTGAAAGATCTTTCTGGTCTCTATGAGAGATTATGCTATCTCCCTTCTCTTGACGTCCCCTCCCCACTCTTCCCCGCCCCCAACCCTTCTCTGTGGATGGAGCATTTGACGTAAGCAGAGACATAGGAAAGATACCAATTCACTATCAAAGCATCCTAGCCCCATCCCAGAGCAATTAAAAAGCCAGATGGAATCTCTGGGAAAACGGCATTAATAACGCGAACAATCTGTGCAGGCCGGCAGGGACCCAGGAGCTGCAGGCGGGGGTAGGAAGGAGGCTGGGGTTCAAGAGCGTGAGCTCGCAGCAATGCTTCAGCCACGCTGTGGCCAGCCCAGGATGGGGCCATCACAAGGGTACGCCTGGATCTGGCCGCAGCTGGGCTACCCCCTCCAGCCCCCTGCAAGGCCCACGGTGCATCCCGAATCCTGGTCGCTGCAGAAAGAGCCAGACAAATGGAACCCATTACGCAGGCAGCCATAGCCTCAGCCAGCCCCATTCTGGCACCCAAGAGCTTTGCTTCCCTTCACTTTTGTTTTTATTTATTATTTTTCTAGCCTTCTGGCCCCACCCACTAGGAACAGTACTCTCTGGGTCACAGCTTCCAAAGATGCCCTTTCTCTTTATTCGCTGCGCCCACGCCCACTGCCCATGCCTGGTCACGGTGGGAGATGGTGTTGGGTACCCCGTGAGGCCTGAGCCCCAGGAGGTCCCCTTTGATGGCAGAGTTGGGGGCGGGGGGAGGGACACTTAGGGCAAGAAGACCAGCTGAACTCTCAGAAGCAGGCATGACTGATAGGGGAGATGGCCATGGCCATAAAGGCTTCCACTGCCTGGCTGCCGTGAGAGGCCCAGAGGGGCTGGACATAGACCACAGGAAAAGAATCTTCTGTTGCTCTGAAGCCTTTTCTAGGCAGAACCAAGAAGTAGGCCCCTTCCTCATCCCCATTTTCCAGACCATAGTTGGAAGCTCACCTCAGGTGATGTAGTTTTCTTATATCCATCAAGTTAGGATGGAAATTGGTTTGTTTAAAAAAAGAAAAAAATCCTTTGTGGTTTTTATGTACCCAGAGAGCCATTCCCTGACCTTCATCTTCCCTGTCTCCACCCTCCACCTTCACAGTCACCCTCACCTTCTGGGGAAACTGTTCTCTCCGAGGTCACCACGAACTCCTGAAGCCAAATTACATGAACTTGCCTGGGATCCTGCCTCTGTTGGCTTCCTGCTGAATTTGGCCCATGTCTGGCCTACAGCCGGTCTTTCACACATGCATCTGAATGCATGGATCTCTCTGCAACTCACCCCTCTCCTTCTTAACAAACATCCTCACCCCGTCCTTTCCATTCAAGAGTCCACTGGGTGGCCTGAGATCCATGCTTGGGGCTCGAGGAACCAGGGTTCACCATTACGGGAGGCAACGAAAGGCCTAAAAAAGGTAAGCTAGCCAGTTCTAGAGAATCCACAGCACCTCAGTGTGGTTAGCTTAGCCCCAGAAGCAGGGGCTTGCCAGCCCCCAAGAGATGGACAGCTTTCCAGAAGAGAGAAGAGGGCTTGGGAGAGGCAGGGCAATGTGCCCCAGGGTTGCCAGAGCTGCTCAGATGCACGGGGCACTGAGATCTCGGTGCTTCTTCTATAAAGGTCTCAGAGAGGGTTTCTCTGCATCTCCCCTCTTGTCCCCACTTCAGGATGACTGGTAAAGTCGCTATTGAGGGACTATGGCCCAAGGACGGGAGCACCAGTAGCCACACATGGCCATCTAGAGCATGTCACCCAGTGACCCAGATGGCCTGAAGGGAGCCATCACAGCTTGTCCCCAGCCTTCTAGATCTGAAGATATTTCTCCTCCTTGGCAAGTAGCCGCCAACCTCTCACCAGAAAGAAAGTCTCTCCTTGAGCGGCCTTTGTCCCTTTCCCGGCCCAGCCATGGAGGCCTCAGAGAGCCCCCCACCTCCCTCGGGAGCCAGCCCGAGCGCTCTGCCGGTGCCCCCCAGGAATCCATGCTGGTGAGGAAATGTAGCTGATTTATGGCGGCCATTCTCTCCAGCACGTTGGGCAATGGGCTCAGCTGGACACGAGGCACAGCCGCTGCCCAGCGAATAGGGGCCCGGGGGTGTCAGAGAGGTGTCTGCTGCACCCGAGGGAGGTGCTGTGACCTTCAACATCAGGTTAGGACCCGTCTGAAGTAGCCTCCCGAAGTGATTTACAATTTGCAAACACGTTTTATTTGATTCCTCAGTTTTGCTGGAGCAATTACAGTGACTAAGCATGACAAATCACTTCCATCACGGTGTCTACTCGCTGTTAGGAAATGTGTTTGCTTCACTCTTTTGCCTGGTGCGGCAACATTTTAAAAATAGACTCAT